CCTTAATATTTAATTTTCTAGAGGAAAAACTAGTTTTTAGGGGCTTTAATGCTGTATATTTTACACAATACAGTCATATTTTCACAGCAGGGAAAGAATAATATTGTGGATAAGAAAGAAAAATGGCGAGGCAGACAAATAGATAGACCTTTGGAATAAATCCAACAAAGACGACAGATTTCAAACAGAGGTGCACCCTGAAGCGCTGTGTATGCTATGGAGATGTTGTCCCTACAAGGTAATGTATGGGGAGAGCAGTCTCACTGTCTCAATCTGCCCTGTGCCCAGTGATCAGAGCCCCACTGACTATCAGCGTGAGGCACATTAGACAATTCAGTAAAGTCACTGTACAGTACGAGTGTGAGAGAAAGCTTAATGGCTGACTGCTCTGCTGTGGAGTTGAACCTAAAACACAAGAGGTATGTGTGTGCATCAGAGTGGGTGGGTGGTTAGAGGTATGGGGGTATCTGTCTGAATGACTGTGTTAATCCTCACAGAACAATGGTGGCAGCCGGTCTTAATAAATCCCCTCACTTTGATCCAACCCTTTGCAGGGCACACACATGCACACATGTACACACACTCTATAATTGCATTACACACACACACCATTGTTCCACAGTAATTCTATTTTTACACGTTTTTCAGTTGAGGGAAGGCCTAAAAAAATTGGAAAAATGATTCACTAAATGACTCAAAGTCCCTGTAAATCATTTTTACAGTCCATAAAGCACATTTGGTAGCTCCAATGCAACATGAGTTTAAGTTTAGTTTATATTGTGTTTTCCATGTAGAAGTATCTTTGCATCTGTAGTAAAGACTATTTAAATGAAATCACTACTACCTATAATGCATTTATTTAGATTTATGTCATTTGAAGCTATTGTTTGACATTTTGTCATTTGACATTTAGCTTAGCATAAAGACAGGAATCATGGAAACAGCAAGCCTGGGAGGCAGACAACCAGAGGTGACTGCAGGAAGTTCCTGCTCCTGGCCAAGAAATACCACACATGAAACTCTTTAAACTGGTTAATTGTTGTTTTTACACTTCAATTTACACACGGATTTAAGAAACAAGATTGAAGGTGCTTTAATTAGTAAGCTTTAAAGGTACAGGTAAGTGGATTTTGTTACCTTTGGACAGGGTACTACTACTGTAGCTGTCTCCTGTCTGTGTGCTAAGCTAAGCTAACCAGCTGCTTCAAAATGTCAAACTACTGTTTTAACGTTGCATTAAAAAAAAGCTTTATTTGTTACTAAAGGAACCTAATTTAGCTTTGTGTTATTTTAGAAGTTGCCTACTTAACAGATACAGTTTCTACATTCTTTCCCACACATATCTTCCTTTAACTTGCCACTGAAGAAACTTTGTTGATCTTAAGAATTAATTGTTCACTGCAAAGCCCGGCACTAAACTTTCCCTTCACATTATTTACATTTTTTCCACAGCTCAGTCCACTTTAAGACCCAACACTTTGCCCTGGCATTCCAAGGTAAGCCGGCTATACGCAGCCCCTCACTTTTATGTTTGTCTGTAGGAATTTGTGTTCAGCCATATGTACCAGATTAGGGGAGATGCATTTAAGTGTCTGTGGATCAAAGAGCTTGGGAGATGTAAAAGGCTGCCAAGGTCACGTAGGACAAGTCGTGGAATCCCTCTCTTTCCATGTGTTCGTACGGGTTTGCTAGGTGTACTCATGTCATTGATGTAATGGGTCTTTGGAGGGTTCGATGCCATGTAAGGGCCTGGAAATGGCAACCATGCCAAGTCTATCACGTGAACACGTACACATACAGCCTGCTGCCACTGGGGTATTGCCAAGTAAATTATTGTGAGCAGGCAGAGTGAAAGGTTAGATGGGAGGGTCAGGTTCCACAAGCCTATTGGGCGCTCAGTTGTTATGGCAACCGAAGCCAGTCCTCCCCTCAGGTGACATAAGGTACAAAGATGAAGTGAGGAGTCGGGGCAGAGGTCAAACTATGACTAGTGGTCGGATTAGTCGTCACAACTGAGATCATTACTCATGTGCATAGTCAGTTTACAGTAACTATTCATTGCATTAACTTCATTACCAGTACTAGGTCGTTCAAAACAGGTGTCATTTTGTCAGGTGGTCTATATTTAACTTTGGAATAAAATCTTCATCTTGAAACCCGAGAAGTCGAGTTGACACAAGTAACTAGTCTCTATCAGAGTGACCCTCTGCCCTCCTCTTTATCTCTGTCCCATCACAGCCAGGCAGACTAAATAATTCAGACTCATCAGAGCCACAGTTGGCATCCTAAAGAAACTGCTGTGCTGAACAGGATGAGGGAGGCGGGAAGAGGACGACTGATCCAATGGTGCCATCTACTGGTGAAGAGTACAAAGCCACACGTAGAGTGTGTGTGAGAGTGTGTTCTTGTACCTCTGCACTGCTGAGGACAGCTGTTGGAAGAAGCAAAGGACTAGAGGAATCCATTAAAGTGAGACTGCGTAACAAAAGAAGCAAGGTTGAATTCATATGTGATAAAAACACACTCAACACACCGGGCTGTAGCTGTTACACCCGTGCTTGGTCTGGTTGGACCAGTATGGTGGCTGACCTTACTGAGCCAGGCTCTTCTTGTGCACTTAAAGATCATTTACAGTACTGTAATTGTCACAGTGCCCACTGCTCATTAAATGTTACAGTTGCCTGTTTCTACATAACATTAAATATTCAATTAAACAAAGTCAAAGTTAGCTATTGCTTGTTTTAGAAAATACTCTCCGTCATCACATTTGACGAAAGTTGGCAAACTCGGTTTGTGGAAATCCGGAATCACCTCCCAACTGCTGCCTGAAAATGGAACTCCAAAAATGAAACTTGTGTAAAATGATCAAAATGAAGCCACTTTGGCAGAATATTTCTTCAAGCCCATTGCCCAAAAAAAAGCTCAACTGCTTCTTTTAGAACTAGTTTAAGGTTAAAAAATAAGTTAAAAAAAACGCACAAAATCCTGTCTTTTAATTAAAAAAAATGGCTGTATGGTAATGTGTGGTAAAAAAAAAAACACTTATTTATATATTTAAAAAAAATAATAATTTGAATTAGCTCAAACTAGCTTACTGTCACTGTGTGTATGGGTTGACACTCAACAGTGTTGTACTTCTGCCCACACCCATCACTGATGCTGAAGCAGTTGTTTTGCCTTGCAAAGTGTCAAGTGGTGATCCTTGATCATAGACACACGTTTAAAAATCCATACTGCAGGTGGGTAACAACATGTTTCCTGTGATTAGAATTAGGCATTGGTATTGGTTATTGTAAGGGTTAGATTTTGTGGATTAGTTGAGAGAACCAGCAGCACTGGCATAATGCTGCACAGACAATGTGGTCAGTGGAAGGTCCTCAGAAATATAGCAATCCAAAAAGTATCTAAACTGATACAAATAATCCATTTTATACAGCTCTCTCAAATAAGTTCATGTACTGAATGAGAATAAAAATAATTATGAATAATATTTCCATTAAAACACATTGAAAGAATCCCTCTTGAAATCACAACTAATCCTTTTTGTTGAAATAAAAGCAAAATGACAACATGCTAGTATTTAATCAACCATCTTATCCAAATGTGTTTTGCATCCGCAGCCTCGTCATCCATCCTCCCCTTCCTCCCAACTGTTCTATAATTGACTCTGAATGCGCTGCCAGTTGCATAAGACACGCGTGGTTGTGCAACCCTCTAGAAAATACTGGTTTGGGATTAAGAGGTTTATTACAGGGTATCTAAATGAGCACAGAGGGAGGATTTGGGAAATCTCAACAGCGGTACTTTTGCTAGAAGACAGCTGAAGAGGATCACAGGGCCAGAAACCTATTGTGTGTGTGTGTGTGTGGTGTGTGTGTGGACGTGTAGGTGTGTGTGTAAAGCATGACTAAGGGGAATCCCGTTTAAAAGAATTAGTCGCCTTGTTTGCAGCACTATCTCTGATGACTGTGCAAACCCTGAGCGGTTTCCCTTGTGGGCTTTACAGTGTTTACACATCAGGGCGTTTCAAATGATGCAGCATCTGCTGCTGAAATAACCTGCAAGAGATAAGAGACCTAAAACACAGAGGCAGAGATCAGCTGAATGATTGAAAGCATGTTAAATGGTTTCAGTGGCAGTTTTCCCCCTTAAAACAATCATGTAATAAGGAATTCTATACTACAAACATTTCCACGATAAGTTGATAAAAAATATCGATAATCTTAATTGAATTTGGGAAAATATGAGTATTCTCACAAAGAACACAATACTTACAATGGACAACCACCCAGTTTGAACAGATATTATGATGGAAACATTTACATAGATGCTAATGTGTAACTAACAGTGAGCTTTATACATGAGATAGTTATAAGATTTATAATATTCTGCCCCCCTGGTGTGTGTAAATGGGGGTGGGCATAAACACCACTCAGTATAATGCAGTTCACCACAAAGCCACCACTAAGTATGGCCTAAAAAATGAATTGAAACACCTCTATGACCCCATGTCAACAAAAATGGAATATAATTATATATATATATATATATATATATATATATATATAAATATAGCTTACTGCATGGCTATTTTACTGAATTACATATGACTGCATGAGTGTAATACAAAATGCTAAATCCCAGTGCAGATTCTGAATTCACCAACTGAGCCTTAAACCAACAATAACTGATTTTCTGGCACTTGGGTGCAGCGGAAACAAGTTGTAAACTTGACACTGACATATTATCTGTCGCCTTTTAAGTTGATGTGGCGAACCTGGCGAGCAGTTGTCTATTTTTATACATCCAGCAGACACACAGCAACAACTAATATTCACTCTCCTTTTAGCTTCACCAGCTCCTGAGCTGCTAAATGTTCACCAGCTAGTCACTTACTTTATCTGTCTGCTGTCTGGTGCTGGACAGGTAGCAGAAAGTAAAACCTAAACAATTCATCTAATTCTTGAAAAATGAATGAATCAAAATCAAAACACACAAACTCATAATTTATTAGATTTATTTACACTGCCAAATGTCTGAATTATACATGAAAGATTGTAATATTGCTGAATAATACTAAAAAATATTTCTAAAGTTTGTCTTATATTGCATTGTACTATTCAGTATACATACTGTGCATACAGTACACAGTACACTATATTGAATGTGACAAACTAAATACTTTCAAACTTACAATTCATTATTGCCTCATGAATGTCTTGATTTCTGAGCATCGATTCAAAGAGACGGTGACAACTTCCTTCCTGCGTGAGGAGCTTCCCAAACCCTGGTGGGTGTAGAAGGTGGGTCAGTGGTCTGCTGGGTCTTCCTGGGATGATTGGCTGGTTGACGTCCACTCTAAGCCGACTGAAAGAAAGGGGCCCGCCGCTCTCCAGCTGCTCCTGTAGTCACCTGACCTTCTTGTCTGGTCGGTATCTTCTCTGTCGTCATGGCAATCCCGGATGTAGAGTCTGGGTTCGGTTGATGCCGTGTGCATAAAGATAAGTAAAATATGCAATCTTTGAATAACAGCTGAGTGAGAGAAGACTTGTCATTAAGTATTAACTTACCATTGTCTGGTATAACCACCTACACCTTATAAAGACAAAAACAGTGTACCGCATAACAGAGTACGATTAATAATCACATTAAATACGTGAAATTAAAATAACAAGCATGGCTGCCATCAGTGTGTGTGTGTGTGAGTGTGTGTGTGTGTGTGTGTGTGTGTGTGTGTGTGTGTGTGTGTGTGTGTGTGTGTGTGTGTGTAAATGGGTTGAAGAGACACACATTAAGGTGCTTGAAACAAAAATTTTTCCAACCCTGCCGATGCGTGGAAAGATTACCTGGGGCCTCACCGGCCCTACCAGATAGGAAGGTTTCAGCTTTCCTGCAGCAAACAGAGCTCTGAGTCCTAATCAGAGTCACTGTCATCAGCCCACGTCTGGTACTGAAAACCACCCAGCTGGAACCTCCTGGATCCGAGGCCTGAAGTCGAGAGAGCTGAGTCTTCGTGGTCATCCTCACAGTTCCACCACTGCCTCTTCGTACTTACCTGCTCCTCCCTGCTCCTCATTCTTTTTCGGGCGGTTCCACTCGCTGCCCAGGAAGCTCTGGCAGGGGCCTGACAGTCAGCTGCTGGGAGCAGCAACAGGAGCGGCGATGGGAGGACCAGCGGGAACAGGAGGATGCTCTTGTCTCCATCCCTGCCCAAAACGCTCTGGTTGGAACGGCAACACGAGGGGGGAGCGAGGTCTGAAGACATCATCATCATCGCCATCTTCTACATCCTCTTCATCCTCATACATGGACTCATACCCAGAATCCTCGCTGACCGACCAGCCGTCAGAATCTTTAGCGTCTTCATCCTCCTCCTCGTCGGTCTCCATTGGTTGATCGTCCTCCTCGAACTCAACCGGGGGGATGCCCTAACGCTCGTCTGAGGGGGAAAAAAAGTGAAAGCAAATTTAAATGTATCTGTATCTCTCATAAATATCATATGGAATTAAACAAACAGAAATCCAAGTAAAAGTTCGAAAAAAATTAGCATTTCTGGATAAAAACGTCACAAACAATGTATGTGAGTATGTAATGCTCTTTGCTTGTTTCAGTGGTGTTTTTGAGGTCTCCATGGTGCACAAATGAAATATATTTTTTAGCATTTTAGTTGCCATCTTTTTTGTGTGTGTATAATTTTGATACAAAATGTGGACAATTTGATCCCCTCAAACCAAAATAACAGTGTTTTCAAATCACTACACTCATTGTTAACACACTCCACACCTCTCCCGGGATATTTAAGACATTCTGTCCGTCAAACAATCATTTTACACAGAGAAATAGTCGAGTAAAAGTCTGCTTTCACCAGATCTGCGTTTTTCCGACAGGCCCAATACTATAAAACTTTAAATTCAATAAGTTACACCGATATTCACACTGATAAAGCGTTTAAAGGGTTTTAAGGGGATGAATCAATGAATCAGTCAAGTAAAATCAATTTCAAAGTTGTCTCACCTGCTCGGTTGTCCAGCTCAGGGCCGACTCCCATCAGCAACTGTCCGTTGATCAGTGGTCCACTGAGGGTCATTTCCAGCCTCCTCGGTTTTCCACAATAATCCAGAGATCCAATAGTTTGGTTGTTGCAACAATATCCGTGTTCCATTAGATTATTCCTCTAAGAGAGTTATCTTCCTCAGGTTTTTCCACAGGGTTTGCAACAGGTCAACTCGTGTCAAAGGCCAAGTTAAAAGAGAGAAATCAAAAAGTTCTGCAGCATTTATACAGGACCTGGGTCAGGTGATCATTCTGTTTCTATGACATTTACTGACGCTCCTGCCTGAGTAAATATATTTTCATTTTATTCATACTTGTATTTTTATTTTCCAATGATTTGTTTGCAGTCATTTGTTTTCCTTTTATTATTGTACAGCTGCTGTGTAGCAACATGGAAACCATTAGTTATAATTACATTGTGAATCTAATTCAACCTGTTTCAGTCATATTTATTATATAAACTGTCCAACTTTAGTGTCCACATGTTGATGAGCTGTGATCATCCATTCCTCCCACTGACTGTCAGTAGAGACAGCCTCCTTCAGCACCTGATGGGTCCATAATGATAAAACCCACACAGCATGGTCACTGTAGTCCACTATGTTATTATGGCCATCACATGCCTGTAGTAGTGCAGAGTTACTTGAGCTCAGTGGGTCCTTATTAACTCCTACACCATCAACATACTGATTTTAAAAACTCATTTGTGTTGTATTTTTTTTTACTGTGAGTCTCTGACCTCTAACTTCTAGTTTTGGGGTTATGATTTGATACTTAAAACATTTTAGTTTTTAGTGTGCTGGGTTTATCAATTTTAATGCCAAAACATACTTTCACATAGATTTAGATGCAGTAGTTTAATGCTTTAGTGTTTGCAAGTGCAGCTGGAATAATCAGGCTTTAACCAAAGTGTAACTCTAATGTAAACAGGCTCACTCCACCTTCCTCAGTGCTAAATGACCAGCTGCTGACATTGGCTTCATATTTAATGGACAGACTGAAGTGGTACTTTTACATTAGCAATAGGTTACATGGTTACTTTTATCTGACAGGGGTTGCTCTACCTTTATATAGCTGCTTTCAGAAACAGTTAAGAAAGACTGATGTTTCTTTGTCCACCTCTCTGTCCCTCCTGCCCGCCGCGTCACCATGGGGAGTAGGGCTTTCAGCCACTCTGCCCCCCGACTCTGGAACTCACTTCCACCGGACATCAGGAACCTAGACTCTCTCCCCCTCTTCAAATCAAGACTAAAAACTCACCTATTCAGAACTGCATACTCCACTTAACTCTCTACATTGTATTTTTCCTGTCTGGTTCTTATTTCTTACAGTTTTTTATTTTTATGTATTGTATGGTGTTCCTCGAGTGGCCAGAGAGGCGCCTTTAAATAAAATGTATTATTATTAAAATGTATTACTACAATAGACCTTTTTCATGGCAGCCATTTTGACATGAAATATTAGGGTAAACACAGTTGTTGATCACCAATCATACTAATTAAGGTTCTGTTCCATTCAGGTCAAAGAGAGCAGGGTACTGTTATTGTGCATGTTGTGCTCACTGGAAAGGTTCTGCTACACTAAATGGAATGGAACCTTAATTAGTATAATTGGTAACCCATGTGTTTACCCTACTATTTAATGTCAAAATGGCTGCTGTGAAAAAGGTCTATCGTGCAAGAGTGCTTTAAAGACACAATGGCTCTGTGTCTACCTGCCAGAGCATAGTATTCTTTAGATAGCAGGCTGCATTATATATTAATGTGAAATCATAGCTTATTACTCTAATGAGGGGTAACAAAGGATTGCCTATATTTTAGCTTGAGTCAGGTTCTTCACAGTGTTCTTGCTGCTCGGTAATGCAAACCACTGTACAGGAATTATCTATAAATTGAGGACTATAAATATCCCATTTCTGATCTCCAAAGATCTGCAGAAAGTACTCATGGAAATAGCTCTCTCTCAGTGCCTCACACATTTGCCTAGGCAAATGTGAAGGTTTAGCCTCTCTTTATCAGCCATTGAGCTTTCAGTAGCAGCAAACATGGACTTCTCATCAACAGAAGCTACGCTTAGGAGACGGTAAGACACAGCTTTTTAAAAAACTTTTTCTGCCTGTTTCAGCTTTTAAATGCATGAAGCAACCAAGAAACCATGATGAAAAAAATATGGTAACACTTGGAAGTCTGATCCACTTTCATGCTAACGTGTTGAATTCTTATGTAGGCTGCTCAGAGACCGTATGTTTGTGGTGAGGAGGTGGTGGCAACACGGCAGCCGCAGGACAAATAAGGCCAAAGCTCTAGTGAGGACAAGACTACACTGATCCTCACTGGCCTCATTGGTAGTCTGACTGCAGACATAGAAAGTACTTGTGATTACGTCCCCGTAATCTATGGTCTCATCTCAGGGGTCAGGAGTCAGTTGACTCCTGTTTCTGTTTCTGTCTCTCTCTCTCACTTTCTATCCATTTCAACCCTCGGTCCTTCAAACCCCTCTTCTCCTTTGTCCATTTGATTACAAATTCATTCACAGTGTAAGTGCAGCGACAAGAGGACTGCCAGAGGAACCTGTTAACTCGAGACCACTTCAGCACGCGATTGTTGAAATAGGGGGATAACTGGGACTTCAGCGAAGACTCCTAACTTGGATTCTGTTACATGAAGACTCTCCAAGAAGAATCTCACAGACGTAAAAAAACAAACATGCAGAGGTTGGTGCTTCAAAAACTAGTTTTTTTGGGTTCTGAATTTTATTTTTAGGATGTGTGGAAAGTACTTTATTTGCAGGAATAATGCTGCTCAAGCTCAAGTTGCCATTCAGCCTACATGAACTCACTGACTTATTTTAGACAATAACTCACAGTAGGCTTTACAAGAGGTCAAACACAGAGCGACCTATAGCGAGAGATGGTAGAGGAACCCACCTTTAAACTTTAAACAAATACTTATCCAATAATTTAGACTAACATAAATAATTATTTATGATTAGATTAGGTAGATAGGTTATGAGATCATTATGAGTGGTGGAAATGATGGTTCTTCTAAAACAGAAATAATCTGGTGCAAAAATTGACCTATTAGTAAGTAATAGGCCTGTCAGAGTAAGGGCAATTGAGGACAATAGGGTCATTGCATCGGGTCTTTCCCTTTGTCTTTTTTTCTTGGAATTTGGGGGTGTTTAACCTTGGTTAAAAATTTACGCATTTTTAGGCTACTTTCAGTATTTGTAGACCCTGTATTTTTCCTCTAGGCGTGTATTTTTTCTCTAGTATTTTTTCCACACAAATTTTATTGTGGAGAGGGCTTTGAAACAGCATTTAGGCTGGCAAATAATATGTTAACACTTTTATTTACCGGATCTGTTATATCCCTATACATTTCTTGGATGTTTCCTGGAAGGAATTATGTAATCTGGTACTAGTTACAGAAAGAAGACAATTTTTACATTTTGTTTACTAGTGATCTCAGTATTTCTGGCTACGGCCCTGATCACAGCACAACTATTAGGAAAATATTTTAGAATTTGCATTTAAAACAAATGAGAAATTATTCAAGCAAGGTGTAGTGCATGGTATACGTGTATACCTATTTATTTTTCAGTCTGCATTAGGTATACCCACTTCTAAAACCCCTCTGCAGTGTTCTGCAAGCTGATTTTTTAAATCCTAGGATGGCGAAGGTATGACTGTCCATTTCTCATGAGTGGATAAGGAATAAAGAATAGTCAAAATCCATCCTTTAATGTTAATTTCACAATGATCAATACTACCTCAAGTCAAGCAGCAGAAGTTAAGTGACAATGTGCAAATGCTACTTATACTACCCATTTTAGGGTAAACAAAATATACAAGTTTATCCTTTATCTAAAAATAATTTGATCCATAAATAAAGTAAAATCAGTAAGAATATTACAGGAATAGCATTATTTGTCTTTTGGGGGTTTGATTTACCACAAGGCTTAATTACATTACATTAAGGCCATTGTTCACCCACCTGTTTCATAATTTAACACTACATGACAGCGGCGGCCACAGGGCGGTGGTAAGGAGGGGTGTTTCCTGCTCGCTGTCTCTGGAGCATCCGCCACCACTCACGGCCCCTTTAAGAAAGCAGCGCCGAACACTGACGATATTTCCTCGGCCCAGTTCCCCTGCCCGTTTCTGCGAAATCAACAAGAGACGAAGGCAGGCTGGTATCTGCAAGCTCCGGGCCAACAGCTCTCCCCCGACCGAGAGGGACGCAACTGGTATCATATTTTATTGTTCAGTGTCTGTCTGCCTGTGTAACCGCTCAGCACTCAGCAGGAGACGACATTTAGCTAGTCGGTGCACAGGGAAACAAGCGGATATTGTTGAGATGGATGGATCAAGTGAGCGGTTTTCGCCGTGAGACTGGCGCTAATTTGGACGTCCCCTGAGCAGCAGGTGTACTGAAGGATAAAGCAGAGGACTCAAGGGAATCTCAGTGTTCATGAAACTTTGCTACGATTTACGTGCTGGGTAAGAAGACTTTTCTCTTTTAAACGTTCCGTAAAATGTCTATTGTTAAAGGAAATTAAAAAAAAAAAAGGTGTTTTAATGTTAAGCCCCCTGCCAGACTGTCTCTCCTTTCGGGGTCACCCAGAATGCGAATGATTTGGTTTTCACGTTGTGTCTCTCAATGTTGCAGATAAAAAAATAAAAATAAAAATGTCCGACCGTTGGAGGTTTATTGAAACCGTTAACTCGAGGCCCCTAACGTCAAACTCCAACGTTTAAATTTAATTCTCTCGCTGACTCAACCGCTCAAACGTAACGGACATATTTGTATTCAACAATGCGGTTCGGTTCAGCTAACGTTAAACTGTGCCGTCGTTGAATGTTGAATGGAGTCGTCAACGCCAAAGTGTTCAGTGTTTCAAAGAAATAACGTCCATTGCTGCTTTTTTTCCCCGACCGCTTCGGGGTTTCTCTGTGTTACACCCCCCTACCACTGAATCATGATATAGCCTAGCTTAGTTTGTGTTCACGTTTTTTAATGAATTTGGAGCAGCCGTTGATTCAGTGCTTCATTCATGCCTTTCCACTATAAAAAAAATAAACTCGCAGACATGACCTGAAATCTATCACAGACAGCGGTAACTAAAGCTTGTTTTAGGTTAATTTTTTTTTGGTCAAAGTTACATAATGTACCTGAGAGTGCATAATGATTTGAAAAGTGCTGGTGTGGTGTGTTCACTGACAGCAGGAAGCTTAGGCATCTGAGGTGTGAGAGAGCTGTTTTAAAAAAAGGTGCTTCTGTCAAACCCAAGATTAACTTCCCAAATATTTTCTATAATTTCCCATTCATGTCAGTGTTTCCTGCCCTGAAGTGATCCCACCTTGTTCCACCCACACAGAGATCATCCTGGGTTATACTATGACCTGAGGTTCAGATTGACCAGTTGTTAAGGAAGTATTGATTGTTTCTATCCTTGTTTATGTAACTGCGTGGTGAAATAATAGGACCAGAGTAGGAGGGATGCTGGCAGTGAGTGCGAGGGCAGGATTAGAAGGTAACAAAGTAGTTTCATGCTGTCTCTCCAAGCTTATGCTTAATTTTCATCGCAGCGTGTGAGTTGATGTCACCTCGCCAACTGTGGTGTGACTGTGCCCTAAACCAGGAGGCCGCTAAATTCATGTTATCCTTTTCAAAACACTCATGTTTGCTAATATCAGTGAACTGCGTGATCCAGCCTTGAATGCACCACAAGGGCATACTGTAATGTGGGCCACTGTTCCTGCCTTCACAAGATAATTACGAGCTGAAGTGTTGCGATGTACTTTGACATTTTTAAAAAATGCCCAGGGAAATTGGCTACCTTTTGATTGTGTACTCTTTCTCTTTAGCCTCAAAACAAAGCTGAAATGTAGAAAACGGGAGAAGTGGGGACAACTGAGCGTTTTTGTTGTCGTAATTTGCACATCAGTGGTGTGTGTATAACAACATGAATGCCAAAGGCATCATGCACATGACTTACTTTGAAAACACAGATGCATACCATTCAAATGCTACACTGACCAAAAAAACCTTAACACGATGTTGGCTTTTAAAAATGCATGTCATAATAACTGACTTTTGTTTTTGTTCAGCCATCTACACGTTGCCCAGAGGGTTGCATTAGTGGGTTGGATAAAAGTCTCCTAGTTCCTACCATTCATTTATTATTCTTGTGTCCACATTTGTTGACTTGGACTCTGCTGAGACCCTTGTTTAGCCTCCAACTCAGAACAGAGCAGAATGTTTGTAATAGGTCTAATTAGGGTTCATCATATCTGAACTCTCCTCCCTTCCTCCAACTCCACCCCCAGGGTTGACATCAAATGAAAGTAAGAGCCTTGATGAAAACATTTACAATAACAATGCAGCCTGAGACTGTGTTCCTTCTTAATGAGAACATGGATACTCAGTAGCTACTTCTATCAGGCATTATTGTTTTGTCCTTTAAGTTAGAATGGCACCTAGACCTGGCAGCATACTTTGTTTCATGAGACCGTTATTATTCAGCATGGCAGTAGTCTGATGTTGGTTTTTTTCCCCCCCTCTGGCCATCTGTTGCCTGTCACTTCATTATGAATGCAGGAAAGTGAGCTAAACAAAAGTTGGAACATTCTGGTCAATGCTGGCAGATGAGCTTTTTAAAGGTAATTTCTTTCTCTGTCTTATGAACCCCTGTAGAAGTTGAGATTAGCTCTAAAGGTGAGTCTCTTTCTGTACTGGGCCTTGTTTCTACAGAAACCAAGCACCGTGGCTGTTGATGATGATGATGATGATGACAGGATGGCCATATGTGGTTTTATGCATGTTAAAACGTTTGCGTGAGAGCACCTGTAGAAGGAAACTGGGGTTTGCATCAGTCACGGAAGCGAAACCCAACACTGAGGCATTTCCATCTAACAAGCAGTTATTGTCAAACTTTCTCTCTGAAACCTGACTGCCTAATGTCCCAGAAAATACTCTTGCACAGAAAGTGGCCTACTTGTGTGAGTGCTCTAGCTTGTATTGTACTCAGCAGCAGGTGGTTGTTTCCATGCCCCCCCCCCTTTGCTTTCATGCTTGGTTGATGGGCAACAGTTATATAGGGTGTAATTGCAGAAAGAGCTACTCACATCTCATTTGGCTCTACTGTGCCATTATCCTCTTTATAGATATATATACATAGATAGGCAGGGGGCGATGGTAAGCCCATGCACCTGAATAGTTATTAAAGTAAGATGAGTGTGTTGGTATACAGCTGAGAACACGCAGGTTTATGAGCCTACCACTCAGTCTACACTTTAAGCCAAAACAAATTGATACTCGGATTAAAGTAGCCATATCATGATCCTTCTGCCTAAAAGAATGTGATGACTGTAATAGCACTCATAAAAAATGCATTATTATGGTTACCAACAAGGATGTTTATCTGAAAACGTTGCATGCTATACTTGCAATCTTGGCTTGCGATCAGTCTACTGTGGTGAAAACCCAGGGGCTGCTCAGCAACAGTGAGACGATGCTAACACCAATAGGAAAAGCAATAAGACCATTTATTGATAACTTGGCAAAAAGTTACCCATTTTAAGCAACAGTTGCAAACATACACTGATTCTAACAACTTTTAAAATGTGACTATGTTCTGGTTTTGTAAGTAGGGCAAAGGGCATTATTGGACTGCCTCTCACAGCCTGATAGCCACGAATGACTCTGATTGGCTCTTGCAGTGAGTGTGACTCGTGTGACCAAGAGTAACCTCAAGCCACTACGTGTCATTAGCAGAAGATTACTCTGATGAGCATAAGCATACATACACACATACAGTTATTTAGGCTTGTAAAACGGACACACACTGGGCTTGTAAAGCTACTCACCCTTAACTAATGTATGCAGAAATAAACAAACACTGTCCACCTGTGTGAGTGTGTGTGCATGTGTGTGTGCCCGTACCATTTGGCTCCCTTGTTGTTATGTTTTATTACTGCACCAGCCTCTCCTCTAGCTGTGTATTAGCAATGACTTATGGTTAGGTAAAGGTAGATGGAGGTGTCCTTGTGTTTGTACATAATTGAAATGTATTATGAGGCCTGTTTGTGTGTATCCCTACAGTAACATTCACATAGTGATCAGACCTTGAGCTAAAGCCCTGTCGTTGTCGTTGTCGTTGTCGTCGTCCTCCTCCTCCTCCTCCTGTCCTCTTTTCATCTTTTCATCCTCCTATTTAAGATGGTGTTGTGGTAGAAACTGCCTCTGGACCAAAGAAAGGAATGCTTAAAAAGGAAATAAAGGAGAGGTAGTCTGAAGAATACCGCAGTGAATGGAGGCGAGAAATAGCATGGGAACAAGTAATGTGTGCTCTTAAATACAGGCTTAGTTAATACAAATCATGGCTGTGTTTCATAAATATTAGCATTTACAGACTGAATGGAGAGTGATTTGTTTATTCCATTTTTCAGTGGAACTCATTGTGAACTCAAATGTCAATTTCTGGGGGGGTTTTCGAAATGGTAAATTTGAATCTGATGCTTTCATTAGTCACCATTGTTGAGGCTTGATTTTATTGTAAGTAACTGTAGTTTGAGCTGACCAGAGCCTCACTGAGCTGTAGCATCGAGCCGGCTGTGTGTGGAAGAATCAGGTGGTTATTGTGAGAACAGATTTCATTGTGACAGGTGTCTCGACGAGGGAGGGAAGTGTTCACCCCTAGGTGAGGAAAGATTACCAGTCACCTCTGTATTTTCCACTTGTATGTGCCCATGTAGGTGGGTTTTCTACGTAACGGAAAAAAAACATGTTTCTTAAATATAAGTTAATTGATAACAATCATCCGCTGCTATAATGCCCATCTGTCTGTCTGATTGTCTCTGGGTACATCTCTGTTTTAGTCCCTGCTACTAAGGATGTGAGGGGCAAATGATGCGAAGAAAGCAGAAGGGAGTAAACAGATTTTAGATAAAGTGAGATGTCCTTGCCTTTCAGGCGTCATATGAAACGACGTCAGTCTCTGATGATTGCAGCAGAGATAGATCATTTGTCAGTTGGCGTCAACAAATCTGTAGAATCTTTGGATACCTTGGATTTAGTATTTGCACAGATAATGTGATGCACTTTCCAGTTAATAATAAGGGTGAACAGTTACCACTGCCAGCCAGTGCTATTACTTATTTATTTTCTTTATTTTTTTTCATTATTGATGTCCTCCCACATGGCAAAACAGAATGTGAAATATACATCAGTGTGTGTTTCTCCTTACAATTGTTCTTCGTGCATTCATTTATTGATATTCTCCTTGTAAGTGCATTACCTAACAATCAGAATAATGTGTACAATGTGTATATATATCATATCAAAATACAGTTGCAGCCAAAGGTTTACATACACTTGTTACTGACATGACAAATAATATAATTATTTCTGCAGCTGTTATTTTTTCAGTTACAGAATGATTGGAAAACATGCTTCCTTTTTCACAAGAAAAGCATTCATAAATGGGGTTTCTTTAAATAGTCATTAAGTCATTGTGTATCTTAAGATATCTTTTATCTAAATGTAATAGGTCAAGAATACACTTACAGCACAGCTAGTATTTGGTTGCCCGTCAATTAAATCAGCCACTTTCGGTATCCATCAACAACCTGGAAGACTCCTGTTTGGATCTCTTCTTGGCAACCAAACTGGTTTTCTTGCATGGATGTTTCAGGGCTGTCTACATACTTTCAGTGGGATTCAAGCTTGACTTTAGCTTGATTAAGATATCCCAAAACCACCTTTGATGTTTCATTTGGGTCATTGTCCTATTGGAACACCCGTTGAGAAAACCAAGCTGGTAGGGCTAGGCATTGAGACAGCTAGGTTGCTGGCTCAGTCTTCTGAGCTTTTAGAAATGGAGTGAGTAAGCAAATTAGACTAGCGTTAAGTCCGGCAACAAGCAAGACAGCGTATTAGTTAGCCAATCATTCATAAAAAAAACAGTCAGACAGCTCATCAGTCAGATAACCATCCTTGCAGTGTGACAGCTGATCATCCAGTCAAGCAGATTAAGTGATCTCTCAGGATTACATCACGAAGAACTACACTTTATCCCTTCCCAAATGACAAGTCACAGCAGTCAAAAAGCAACAGCGTCATGTTGACTACACTTTCTGTGGTTCTGTGCTGCTGGAAGGAATGACGGATTGTTGTGACAATATTTTGACACAGTGCATTCGGTCAAATCAGGAATGACCTTCTCGTACAGTAGTACTACAAGGGATTCTCACTGTTGTTTCATTCAGTGAGCAAGTCTCATTCAAAGGAAGGACTTAATGGAGGTGGTGGCTAGAAAGTCAACACTCCGGGCGCAGTCAGGGTTTAATAGGCTGTGGACATTTGTGGACTGGAAGCAGCATCAGTTTGCTTGCAGATGCTTTGCCAGTAACAATTTAGCACCTGTGGTGGTTTAGAACCGGCTCCCATTTCGATGCTAATCATGATCTATTGCACATTCATACTTTAGTTGGCTTATATTGGCTTACTTTTGCTGAACATTAATGAGGTCATTAATCCTGTCTGTATTTTGTTTCTATCAGTGGGATTCATTTTACTGCAGTGTCAAACTGTTGCTGCTGAATGCAGAGGAGACGCTGCTGTAGCTTGACTCCTGTGACTCTGTGTATGATGACACATCCAGCCCCCCTGTTTTATCTGTCATCATTACATCTCGGCCCTTGATACCAAAACACAACCATTAAGCCTTTCACAACCTCCAACAACCACTACCACCGTTCCCCACTATGGAAATTAGATCAATAAATGGGGTCAGCAGATCTACTGCTGTCAACTCTTCGCCAGAGGACTAAAAGGAGGTGGTTGCCGAGGCTCTAACAGGGTTACTGGTTCCATCTTCCTGTGTAGGCCGAAAGGGAGAGAAAAACACTAGCCTTCAATGCTGTTGAATCTCTAACCTTGTCAGTGTTTAAGGTTGGCATGTGTTATGTCATATGTCCCCTTGGGGGAAATTTACAATGACCAGAATAGGGGATTAAAATGGGTGTAGCTCAGGGCTGTCAGTTTTCCAAAAAATCAAGTTCGAATGAGTTTGAAACCCTACGCCATTTGTTCGAACTAGTTCTAAGAAAATCTGCTCATCTGTCCTCCTGAGGCTGGTAGCCGATGTAGAGATTTGTGCTGGTTATTTGACACTGAGTCAGTTACTTTGGAGCTGAGTAAATGTCTCTACGCTGGCCAGTTGAAGCTGTGAGTTTTGACTTCCTGACTTATAGGTCTTATCGTCCAACCATACAATTATTAAAAAAGAACCACATTTGTTAGAGTAAAATATATTTCAATATTATTTTTGTGGATAATCTACCTTATTTTACAATTTACAGTATTGCCTATCACATCATATTGCCTAATACTTCCGGTCTGCATTTGTCCCTCCTGCCCCTGAAATAATGGATTAAAAACTGCTCCTCCTTATGAAAGTAACACCAGCGATTGTCTGACCACTAAGAATTTGGTTGGACAAGAGCCTATTGACCAGAAGGTGTCAGCCCTAATATTAGGTTTTAATAAGGTCAGAAGAAAATAAAAAAAGGCATCAAAAGAAAGCCGTTTACACACAGCCATACCGACAATGTGTTTTCTGTCCCCATAGGGTTGCCGTCCGCCATGTTAAGGTAAAGCCCAGGTGCGCGGTGTTGACCATGCTAAAGCGCTTGGACAAGATCCGCTTCCGAGGCCCCAGGACGAGAGACGACTTCCCGGATCTGGCCGAGTCGCCACCCGCCTCTGACAACGAATGTAGCGACGAAATGCAGCTGAAGCCCAGAGCAGCACTGCGGGACACAGAAGACCCTGTGAGTGCTCATCGTGCATATTTTATATATGCGTGTGTGTCTATACACATATATATATATATATATGAGTGTGGGCTGTGACTTATGGCTCCATTTGCAGTTGACATTTCATGAAGCAAAAAGTGCTTCTTTTTTTTTTTTCATTTCCTGTTGTTTCTTTTGCTTTTTCAACTTTTTTTTCTTTCATTTTATCTAGGTTTTATCTTTCTTTCTGTTTCCCTTCAATTCAGTCACCCCCCATTATATCTTATTATATCTCTCTTTCTCTGTATTTATCATCCTTGCCATTCTGAGTAAATGGTTATCTTGCTTCTGTCTTATATATACACATTTATCCTTGACTGGCTAGGACGAACACACATGGTAGCCTTTTTTTTAATGTACTCATGAATTATTCTGTCTGAAAAGGATGCTCTGACGTCAGTGTAAGACAAAAAAAACGTGGGAGTGAGATATGTAGTAGCTGCTGTTTCACCTTTCTAATGTGCAGATGTTTTATTAGATAGCTTGATAGATAATTAGGGCAAAAAAAATTGACATGAAATTATTTATTCCCACTTGTTTTTGGTTGAAGAGAAAAGGGGACAATGGTGGAGGATGAAGTTGTCGTGATAAAGAGAAATGGAGGAGATGACAGCGAAAAATATTTTCCAATGGGGGACATGGAATAGAGATGACAATCAGCAGCAGACAAGAGCAGAAATAGTGAAAGCAGTGGTGAGATGAACAGTTATTGGATAGCAGGAAGGGAATGAAAAATGGAAGGAGAGAAAAGATTAATGGAGGGAAAGTGATAACGGGGGCTCGAGGACAGGAATTTAGCCTCAGCAGATTGGACTCAGATGTCTAGAGGGGAGGAGATGGACAGGAAGAAGAGAAGTCACCAGCCGTGACAATAAAAATCCAGATCATGTTTTCTGATATTCCTTCCTCCCACGCTAGATAGTGTTCATATTTCATGAAATCTGCAGCTCGCTCGTCCTTGTGGTTGACTAAAACATCATTACTGTCGTCATCACCATGCACATGCATTGATAGAAAGATACCAGATTAAAAACAGTGAATTAGTCACTTGATTGTATCATTTCATGAACGAAGGCCCCAGGGATCTCTGTGCCTCTTTCATTTTCTCTCTTTGTTTCTGTTCAGATAGACAGCCGATATGACATCCCATTGAAAGATGCACTAGGTCTGGTGGGGAATGAGTAGGACTTAGTGACAAAATACATCATTGGGCCGTAACAGGCCTCATTGCTCCCACATACGGATATTAAATTGTGGCTTTTTTCCCCCCTCGAACAATATATTTTTTTAATTCAGTGATCTAGTTGACTGTGACCCCTTTCAAGCATCCTCTGTGGGCGTGTGCAACATGTGTCTATATTTGCATGTCTGCACTCGTGCCTTCCTAAGTGTGTCTGTGAGCTGGTGTTTGTATGTCTGTATGTGCACTGGTGTTTGCCTGTGTGAGCACCAGCCCACTGGGAAGGCATCGCCCACATCACGGCACTGATGAGTCACACTCCGAAGCCCCAAAATAGACCAAGCTGGCTCTTATCCCTGCTGGGACACACACATATACATACACATACACACATGAAGCATGCACCTTCTCCCACAAAACATGCTATTGCATTCAGCATCTAAAAGCCGCCACTGCTTGGTGGGCGTTTCATCTTCAATGCATAGTGCCCTTCATTGGTTCCTACTGGCACACTGGAGCCCACCCAGACTGCAGTGATATCTTTCCATTTTCCAGGATCAGATCACATGACCTGCGTCTGAACCTCACCTTCATTACTTCATCTGTTAAAAGGAGGACAGAGTGTGCCCTTTGGCTGCAGAATACATGCACTGAGACTTTTTGACAAACTAGCCTGTGTCATCCATACTAAATAGGTAGAATGTCACTGGGCAGATGGTGCTCAGTCATTGCACAGACGACTGCGTACGACCTCACTGGCCTCTCCCCACTTTTCCTGCTAGATCAGGTTGCTTCCACACCGCATTTGTCATACTTTGTCATTGTGTCAATGTGTCGTTTGTCTAAAGTACATTTAGACAGGTAAGATTATGTGATGCAACCAAAGACAATGCACAAAATTATACAAATAACTGCTAGAAATCTATTGCTCACATAAAAAGTCTATTTGTAAATAACAAACCCAAATTTAAAAGACCTTTTATAAAAGGCCTGTTATGGGTGAAATGTAGAATATGAGAACCCTGTGATGTCCCCACTTCAAAACATAATGTTAATTTGATTTGATGTGATTGGCATTATTGCAGTTATCATTATTATTGAACATTGAGCAGTCCTACAAAAAAACGTGCCTCTAAGCATGAAGGAGGGTAACGTACATGTCTTTTCTGCTGTATATGTTTAAATTTTAATTGGACATTTTGATATGAGTTCCAAATTAAAAGCCCCTCAAAGCCACACTGTCAAATAGAAGCCACTTAAATAACTATCAGTCCATAAAAGCTCTTCAACATGCCACTCCATGGTGAAATCTCATTGGGTCATGAGCACTTGAGCCTGTAATCATACATTTAGGATTGAGAATCAAGTCTCTTTATCTTTTTCTATTACATCGTGAGGCCTACAGATCAATTCTGTAATGGCAGAAAAATCCTAAAACCACAACTGCAATGGCTTTGTGTTACAGTTCTGAACAGTAATCTCTCCATTGAAATGTAAACTAAAGTGAAACCGGCAGTCATTTTTTTAATGGTTTTGACTTAGTAGTCAGAATATATAAGATGTTGGTTTAGATTTACGAGCTAACTGTCTGAACAGCTGTGGGTTGCATCAATGCTGTTGATGCTGCCCTAGAGGATTGTGGTTGTCTTTACCAAGAAGTTTGCTGTGGCGGTTCAGATTTTTGTTGTGCGGTGAGAATCTAGGTCTAGTCTGAGCATACCTCTGAGCTGAATGTGTTTTTATTTTTTATTTTGAGTGTCTGTATGTGCGTACAGTTTTATAAATCAGGAAATCACAGGTTTACAGGAAATCAGGTTGGGTAGAGTGTATGGTTTCACTGGAGGAAAAATGAAAGTGTAAGTAGAGCAGGCAGTTCAGATAATGTCTGTCAAGTAGAGAACAACCACATTATCTGTTTTACTGTCAGCATTTCAACCATCAGCAGAGGATTCATCATTACCCCTGCTAGCTCATTTTTAGATATATATTTTTTTTTTTTTTTCAATAATGATTCAACAGCATGGTAATGTAGCACGATGTGTCAAAAAAGCCTGATATTATCAGATTATAGTCACCAGTTCCACTGATATATCACCTTTATGGTCTTTCAGTGTCCATTGTGTAAAAACCCTTTTGGTTAATTCTTGGACATGGCTGATCAAAAAGTACTACCACCAGCATTCTGGACCAACAATCTGCCAAACATGGAGAAGGTCTCTTGTATTATGTGTTTATGAGCAAACCAAGGCCTTGGAATCACACCTTCTGTAGTTCCCCTCCTACTGTGAGACTCACACTGAGCCTCACAAGATCACAAGTTGCCAGCTTTAAAAGCACACGCTTTTGCATAAAAGAGAGTATGTAAAAAGCATTTGAGATCCCTGGAGCTGTTCTCCAGGATAAACCAGACATTTCCAGTTCATTACTGAGGCAACCATACAGCCCATGGTCAGTGTCCCTGTAGAGGCTGAGTCGAGAGAGAGGAACAATGGAATAAGGATAAAATGAGAAGTACAGCAGATGACTGAGGAGTGTGAGCAGGAGGTTAGGGAGATCAGTTCGTAGGAACCTCTAAACAAGAGGCAAAGAAAGATGTGGCACACAGAATTAAGATCTTCACTTTCTCCATACAGAAAAGCCAAGCTTAGTTCATCGAGCTCATTGAAGTGAAGCAGGACAGCATAGAGTCAGGATGAAAACTTTATAAAAGATCTGGAGCAGGAAGTTGCTGATATAAAGAAGAGGAGCAGAGCTTGATCCACAGTGGCCAGACTGTGGAAACTGCCAAAGCTCTGGCTCAACTTTACAAGACACTCTGTGGAGGGTTACCCATAGCATCTATCAATGAATATCTGTATTTCCTCTGGTTGCATTCAGTATTAATAATATGCATCTAATGCTTTGTTTTGTGGTTTGTGATTTATTGCAGTTATAGTTCACCTAGAAATTACAGAAAGAAAGGATTGTGGCTTATTTACGAGTTAGATTTCATAAGACAATGCAGAAAATATGCATTGGCAACATATGTTCACCTCTATTCTTAACTACACGGAGAAGATGAGTTACATTTAGAATCAGAGCGGGTGTGAAGCAAAGTACAGTAGCTCACAACATTGATGCTTTAAGAATTATATTAGGATGATAATTTTCATTTGTTGGCATACATTTTATTCTCATATCTGTTGTTGTTGGTTTTTTTTCTTCAGCAATAAACTGTTTAAAACATGGAAAATATAGAGTGTCACAGCAGGACACTGAGAGATCCCCATGCTCACATCAGCCACAGTTATGAAAGAGGGAGATGAGGGAACACAATAATTAATCAGCCGATAATCGTCCAGGGTGACGTCAGGGCTTGACCTACTTTTGATAACCAGGAAGGCTGTGACTGAGAGCTGATGACTGCATTACACAACATGAAGGTGTGCTTACATTATGTACCATCCTTAAGGACCGAACCAGTAGCGATTTGACATTCTGAAAAAAAGCAAGTCTGACAAAATCCAAACCCAAGAGCATTGCAGCTGAGTGCTCGTAATGCAGCAGAACTTCTTTTCACTCCCACCATCCTCTCCTTTCATCTCCTCCACGTACTCCTTGTCTTCGTCTTTCTGCCTCTCTCGCTTTCTCTCTTTTTTCATCCTCCTGCCTCCATTTAATTCTAATACCCTCCTTCTGTCGTTTGTTTTCTTTCGAAGTGCTTCTTTATTCAGGGACACCCTCTCCATCTCTGTCTCCCCACCCGCCTGTCTCTTCAGGCTTTGGGCTCTTTCCCAAAGCACATTTTTTCAGGTCAGTGTCAGTTTTCTCTCTCTATCTCTCCCGCTCTCGTTCTCTCGCGCGTGCATTGTCTCTTTGGCACATCAGCTAAAGACATTGCAGTGTGTCGACGCAGGCACACGCAAACCATGCTGGTTGCTGTCGGGAAGAAGAAGCTGCTGCAGCGTGCGTGCGTGTGTGTGGCAGGAGTCTTTTAAAGGACCCTTGCCGTAGTCGAGCAGCGATGCTCAACCTGCAGTGCTCACCATCCACTAGCACAGCCATCTCACCTCCCCGCTCGCTCTCTCCTTTCCTCTCCCTCCACCACCCACTCAACCTCTTTTTCCTCACACTTTGTCCCTCGTTCCTCTCCTCTCTCACACAGTCGTCACCTCTCAATCATTGTCATGCACTTCGTCCACCTACACACATGTTGTGTCGCTAGTTGTGTGTGTCAGGGTTAAAGCCCTTAGTCAGAGGGGTGTGAGTCATCAGTGTTGCTGTAGTCAGGAGAGGGGATTCTCCTCTTTTTTTGCCTTCCTCCTCCTCCTATCTCGCTCCAGCTGGACTTAAACCGGGAGAGGAAACGTTAGCGTGAGTCATGACACCATGCTAATCTGTGTGTTTATGTGTTAGATCATATGGGATATCCCTGCATTTATTTATTTATTTATTTATTTATTTAAAACCAGTCCTGTCTTTCTTTTTTTTTCTTTGTTTGTGAATGCTAATGTTGTATGTGCATTGATCCTTGTATGTACACCTGTGCATGTGCTGTATTCATGAATGTGTGTGTGTGTGTGTGTGTACACTACAGGCAGGTTCGGGGTCTCCCACCATGGCTGCGGCCATCCAGGACTTCCAGAGGTCGGAGTCAGACCGACTCAATGAAGTCAAAGGTCACCTGGAAATTGCCTTATTGGAGAAACATTTCCTACGTGAGTAGATACACACACACACACACACACACACACACACACACACACACACACACACACACACACACACACACACACACACACACACACACACACACACACACACACAAAACCTTTTGGAGATCTCAAAAAAGGTGTTAGTACCTCTGTTGTTGTGTGTGTATAGACCAGATGATTGCTGGCAGTTCATGGGTTCAGGTTATGCCTCTTAAGATAAAAAATATATTGTAAGTGTCTTTGTTGTTCAGTTCAAACTGTTTTACTGGTTTGGTTTCCCACAAGGTAGCCTTGTCTGCCTCTAATTTCAGTGAGAGATTTCCCCTACCCAGAATCCCTCTTGTCAGTTCCCAGTAAATAGCCCTGAATGTGTGGCATTTAGCTCATAGTTTTACAGTGTGTTTTTTATATATATATATATATACAAGCAAGGATGCAACAATCAGAGTGTGACTTCAACTTGCAGTGGTGCCTTTACTGTATGATGTGGATGTACTGCCTCTTTCTACAGTTTGTTATCTGTGATGCCATTAGGATTGTATAGAAAATGCTGAATATAAAACAGGAAGCCTCCTCAATTTGATGAGAGTCTGGTTAAACTCAGTTGTAGCTGAAACGAAAATCTCTTCTTGACAATGAATGTGCTATGAAAACGTTGTTTCTTGGGAGGGACGGACTTAACAGCTTTCATTGACATTTAGTTCTTGTTCTTGTTGCTGAATGCGTTTACTGTAGGTTGCTTTGCAAAAAAGCAATCAAGTGTAACTTAATGTATCTATTAGACAGTAGATCTTAGTGTGTGCGTTGGCTTTAAACTAGCATCCTGTGATATCAGTCATCTTTGTGGTTTCACAGTCTCGCAGTAGGTTGTGCCTTGGTTGCTGTGTGCAGCTTCAAACAGCCTGGCAGTCCAACATAACCCTAATGTGTAATGCGTATTACATGAAGCAATATTGTGTTGCTGAACTTAACTGAGAAGCTATAATAATTGACCCTGTCCTACCTCTCAAATTTCAGTATGCTTAGCTACCTGCCCTTGGTGAAAAGCAAACTTCTCTGCAGTTTCACAGCTGCAAGTCAACTGCAAATCAACAAATCCAAACAAACAAAATCAACATACACATTTGGATGAACTTAACTATGCAATCTGATATCTAGAATGGGTAGTAACAACAGTAACATCTTGTTTTGCTAACCGTAAGTTAGCAACCCTGAAATTACAGTGAAGGGAGGCTGCCTGATCCAGTGACACATAACAAAAAAAGTCCACCCACTCAGCTCACACACATTTACAAGCTTGTCTAACGTATCCAGTGTGGGGTAGTGGTTGTCCTGTACCGTCCAGCACGTTGACAGTCCCATGGTGTGTAATAGACTGTGAAGCCCCCGCCCCCCTTTCCCTTTCGACTGTGTGTCTATTAGAAAGAGGGTGAGAGACAGGCAGAGAGAGGGTGAAAGAGAATACCTCAGGCTATGTCCTCTCTCACAATGCCTGTGCCTGAGCTAAAAGGGCTGGATTCATTGTCTCACTGTCAGGATGCTAACTGGATGAGCTCTCCCTTCATGGTCCTTTCTTCCTTTCTGTTTGCCCTTTCCTTACTTCCTCCTTTTTTTTCTTCCACCCTCCCTTTCTTCTAAAAAAAACTTCTAGAGCCATCATTGCCTTTTTGTCTCCATCCTGCTGAGCTGCTCTTTCAGAGTCTGCCTGCCATTCCCTGCTCTTCATTTCTGGATCAGTCTCAGCTCTCACTTTGCACATTTATTCCGTTCCCTTCCCTTCTTGTAGCACGCTTTTGATTTCCCTTTCCCTTTATGCTTTTCTCTCTGGCCGTATGATGTTCTGAGATTCTTCTGAGATCTGACAAACACGTGCTTGCACATAAACACTTAAACAGCTGTGACAGTTCATGAGAGTTAAGAACAGCAATGTAACCAGTGCTCTACCTAAGATGGCAGCCACTTGGCATTTTCTTGTTGATTGGGAAAGGGTTGTAGTGTTCTTTGGATGTTTTTTCTTCTAACAAACCTCAAGTGTTTTTATTCCCTCTGCTTTCTTGTACTGTAGCCATCTGCTGCTTCTCCCTCTCGCTCTCTGGTTATCCATTTCTCTCTTGCCTGTCAATTTCTCGTCCTATCCCCGGCTGTTGTAATCGTACTTCAGGGAACACTGAAGCGTGACAATCCATTAGCACCTAATGGAGTCCTGAGCTCTCTGCCCTGTACTCTAGTTATTGTGTATTTTATTTCTACTATTTTCCTTTGCACTCTACTCTGCTTTCCTATGCTTCATATGAAGGCATCATACAATAAATAATGGACTGCCGAGTGTGTGATTCCCCCACAGTATAGCCTGCTATGGGAAAACCTACATGAGTGTGTATTCGTCATATTCTCAGTAATGTGTTGAGTACAGATAAATACAGACTGGTATGCTTATATACAGTTTGTCGTTACTTAAAGCTAATAAGATTAGTGGGGTGAAACAAAAGATTCCTTGTACCAAGACATTATGGGTTTATGTGTTGTGTAATGGCTTTTCTAGAGCATAGGTAATATAGGAAAACAACATAATGTACCATGAGAAGATGAGCCAGAGCTTGCACATTGAAAGGATTTAGAAATGCCATGTCTGACTTTAACTTACAAAAGATTTTAGTCCTGGTTGATTTGGCAACACCTGTGGTTTCTGGTAGTAACAGCATGTGCAGTTTGATACTACAGACAAGGCTGGATTACATCCATGCATCAATTCCTGTGAATCCCTTGTGTAGGAAGGCAAGTTTAATCCAGTGTGGGAATGGCGGACCCCACCGATAAAAATGAAACCTTCATGGAGAGGTATTTACTGAACATAAATAGTGAAAATCTGAAAAAACATCATCATCCTGAAGGGTATAAAACAAACACACACACACACACACACACACACACACACACACACACATATATATATATATATATATATATATATATATACTGTAGGAAGGTGTAACTTGCACTGCAAGAACAGGAAATTGCTTCTATGTTTTATAAAAGGATACATTTAATATTTTTGGGGCTGTTGGTGAGACCTTGGACTGGTAAATTGTGACATGTGTGACTAAGACAAAACAACTAATTGTTATACTATACAAAAAAATTGATTGATTAATAATAAAAATACTGTATTGCAGCCCTAACTTAATCATGACCCATATGGAATAGAAGTTCATCATTTAAAGGTCACCGTTTTCAACAGCCAGGGCAACTTGCTTGTTCATTTCAAGTTGCTCTAGATGAGACCATCAGCTCAACAACTAAAATATGAATGGGTTCTAATTTCAGTTTATAGTTCATTTTTAGGTTTACAGTGTGGTCTTTTTCCACTGAGCAGATAAAAATGTTTGGCCTCCCGCAGGAAAAGGACATTGATGGTGTGTTAGGAAATTACGTCATGCCAAGCCTTGAATTGTGTGTTGGTTTTGTGCTTATTCCTCTAATGGTGCATCAGCGTTTAAGCCAAGAAATGATTTGGGCTTCTTGGATCTCTTTCACTCTCAGACTGAACTGAGTGTAGGCGTATTCTCTCTCTCTTCCCCCCCCGGCTGACGTCTTCTCGCTGCTGCCTAAAATATAGCTGGGGCCCACGCTGTATGCCAAAACAAACACACTGCTTAAGTATATTGTCTCCTGCCTTCACAGGAGGCATGAGTTTCCATTCCAGATGGTTTGTGTGTGTATGTGTGGATACAATGACCCAAGCTTTTTCCCTTGGCAATTGCTGTGATTGACCAGTGCTATTTTCAGGGTACTTAATTGGTTAATTTGTAACCATGTTTCCGGACGTGAGATCACATAGAAGAAGGCTAGCACACATATGCGGCAGTGGTCCAATGGCTATGTGCTGTATTACGGTTGTGCTTCCTACAGTTTTCTCCTTCTTCTCCTCTCCAGGATCTTAATTTCTCCCTTCCTCTCATCTATTTCCCTCTGTCATTTTCCTCTCCTCCTTATGTATGTTTGTGTGTGTATGCACACCCCGCCTCACAACAGAATAATCAGATTACTTCAAAGGGCTTGCAGTGTCACTCAGTCTTTTTTAGTTTTCACTGTTGAATAAATGCATAAATATGGGTATTCACCTTATTCTAAATAGACCATGTGAAGTGCTGCAGTAGTCTCTAAATGCTGTTGGTTAAACATGTGTTTGTGTGGGTAAGCTTCAGGTAAGTAAGGTAGTTCTCTCAAATTACAAAAACATATTTTCCCACATACCCCTATCAATACCTAGCGATGGAGATCATTTTGGTTTAATCTACCCAGGATTTGGGCTGCCTCAATAATTTTTGTTATTTATGTTTATTATTTTTTGTTGTGGAAAGCACTGAAAAATTGCATTCGGATAAACTCAACAACAGTGTCTTTTCTGAGACATGGTTATGGTCACATGTGCAGCATAATCCACAGATTTAGGAAGAACAGCATCCCCTGATGAACAGTGTTGATTATCTAAATTATTGAGAATTCGGCTGGTTTTAGCCATGTTACTATAGACATTACAGGTGGGCATTATCATCATTATCAATCATTGATCGGAATCATTTCACTATTTTGTAAGATGAGATACAAGCTAATATAAATTTTTACTTCAAATTCAAAAGTGAGATTAAAGCGAATCCAACATAGTGCTAGAGTTGTGTCAGTGTGTTTTGGTGATGGTCTTACTTGTATGTGATCAAAAAAGACCAAAAAGCTATGACAGACTGTCTCACTGACTGACAAATTTCAAATTCCAATAATGAAGTTCTCAGTAATCAGATAATGAGTAGGTCATTTATTCCTTCAATATATGCAGATTGGCTGCTTCAGAGAGCAGATTTCTGTAGCAGCAACCACAGAAGACACAAACACAATAGAGATGTTTATTATTATTATTTTCATTCATTCATTCATTCATTCATTCATTCATTCATTCATTCCTTCATTCATTCAAAGTATTTTAGCACAAAACTGCACTCTGTCTG